GTTGGGTTGGGTTGGGTTGGGTTGGGTTGGGTTGGGTTGGGTTGGGTTGGGTTGGGTTGGGTTGGGTTGGGTTGGGTTGGGTTGGGTTGGGTTGGGTTGGGTTGGGTTGGGTTGGGTTGGGTTGGGTTGGGTTGGGTTGGGTTGGGTTGGGTTGGGTTGGGTTGGGTTGGGTTGGGTTGGGTTGGGTTGGGTTGGGTTGGGTTGGGTTGGGTTGGGTTGGGTTGGGTTGGGTTGGGTTGGGTTGGGTTGGGTACGGCCGGCGAGAGCATCCTGCATGTGCAAGACGCTGAGGATTTCCATCAGAAGGGAGTCGAGGTAAATTTTCGTCGCGCACTCCTGCAACAATGCCAGGCAAGCAGCTGGCCTTCTGTGAGCTTTTTGCCGGGCTGTGTTTTGTCTTTTTCCGCCGTAGAAAGCTCGAAAAGGACATATTGTAATTGACATAATCCAACCTTCGGCTAGAACGCCCATCCAGGCATGATTACTGCACTTTGTGTTCCCTGGTGATCCCCTTCAAGAAATAGCAGTTATGCAGCCATGACAGCCATCACTTGTTCACATATGACATGTCACTGCGAGGAGTCGTTCACGGTGCACTTGGCACCACCGGAGATTGATACCTGTGCCTTGGCACATTGGAGAGCATTGAAGGTCACTGGCGTAGATCAATTCGCGAACAGGGTCTGCATTGAACGGGGTCACACGCATCAACTTGATGACATAGTCCACGCAAGCGCTATGCCATAAGCCCCGCAGCAGCAAGCGAGGCGTACCTGAGAAATCGCCTTAGGCGAGTGTTTAGTTTAGTGACACCTCAGTGGCCAGGCACTGGAGGGATATAGGGACAAGGGGGGGATCAAGAGGCAAGGGGAGCACAAGGAGGAAAACACCCAACGTGCCCAACACAACAAGCTCACGAAACCCTCCTCATGTCAAGGAGCGGAAGAGCATCAACCATACCGCTTTTGCAGTATGAGCTCACGCACCTTGGTAAGCCAAGCAGTACAGCGTCGTCAGCCGAGTCCAAACGATCAGGCAACGCAGCATCGGGTCGGGTCGCTGAGTTTCCAGCGCCGGACACTGCCAACAGATATGGTGGAGGAAACCTATGTTTTGGAAGCAGAACGGACACTGCTGGAATTCTCTCTGACACATCCGGTCCAGCTTCGCTGGTCTGACGGAAGCACCAGAGAGAATTTAGAAGTACGGCTTGCACAGGACATAGGCCGCGCAAGCACCATGCCCAAAGCCCTGCAGCAGCGAGGCGAGGCGTACCTCATGAACTTTTTTTTGAGACACCTCAGTGGCCAGGCACCGGAGGATTGTAGGGACCAGGGAGGTGTCAGGAGTCGAGGCACAAGACAGGGTAAGAAGCCTGGAACCCCACTCATAAAGATTCGGAAAACTTCAGCCGTAACGATGCTGCAACATCAGCTGACGTGCTTTCACAAGCCAGCCGAGAACAGAGTCATCGTCACTTGTCAACCGGTGCGGCCATCCCAATCGACACTGCATAGGGCATAGTGGGACAGACAAGTCTTTGTTCCGACAGAGCAATACATTCCCAGTGGATGTGACGTAAAAATCCACAGGCCTCACTGAGCAGAAAGGGCATTTCTGAAATTCTCTCCGGTGCATCCGGTAATCTGGAAATTCTGCTTATGTACTCAGGGCCGCTCGCTTACGAGCCCAAGCACATTTGTCAACGTGGTAAGGCACATCAGGGAAGGCATCCAGTCGACCAGACTGTTGATCCTTCTTCCAGTGGCGAATGCGGAACGATTCACATAATGAAGTACCACATCGCAGCTTTGAAGCCGTAGTTCCTGAAGGTGCAAGTCGTCGTTCCTGAAGGTCCATGGGGACTCGCACCAGCCATACTGGCTCAAGCCTTTGACGATGGTTTGGCACAAACCTTGTCGCGGGTTCCACGTTTGCGGTCGATGATCAGGACGTTTTCGAGCCTGAGCCAAGCTGCGCTGACATGTAGAAGTGCAACCTGACACTTTAAGTTGTACTGGTGTCCACGGAGAACCTCTCGCAAGTGCACGCAGCCGCAACCACTGCTGAGAGGCCTAGACAATGGCTGCACGAAGTTTGTTGTGCTCTTTGAGAGGCGGAGCTCCACCCCCAAGTGGCTTTGGCCATGGCGCCAGCAACGAGCGCGGGAGACAAGCTGACACGCTTCGGCCAAACGAGCGTTTTCTTTTTGGGTTGGTCCCCTCCGACGACTTGGTGCCACTGTGTGACCCGGAACCTTAGGACGAAGACACATCTGGTCAGGGGGGGGCCCTTCACGAGGCCATGACATCAATCGTCTCCTAAGGCCTTGACTATGAAGAACAGTATGAAATGCTTGTGAAGTACAAGACGTGTCTTGACGGGAAGCTTTAGCGGACGGATGGATGCTTTACGGCTTGTGCGGGCGACCGTCATGGCTGGTACCTTCTACAGGCGTGCAGACACGCAAGTTGCTCAATTATTCTTAAATTGTTTGTACGATGTTTTTTACACCGTTGCATCTTAGCATTTTGTATCGTTGTTCCAAGGAAGATGCTGGGCAACGTGAAACTTATTGCTCATCTACTCAGGTTGAGGCGCCTGAAGAATCGCTCGGCCGCTCGAGCCGCCCGGGCCGAGATTCTCGGTCAGCCAGTGCGATCGAGAAAATGCCCTGAAGGGCCGAAATGTTGGGAGAATGCTTTTTGGAGACTTCATGGAGACTTCATGGATAATGATCGAGAACGTTTGGTTCAGCTGGCAGGATGTTAGCAGCAAAGATCATTTTCCATTGCATTGACGAGCTGATCTCCATAGGCTCTGCTGAGGCCGGTTTTAGCTGGTGGGGCGATGGGTCTATTGGTAGCCACATGCCACGATATCACGAAAGGTAGCCTGGTAAGGACTACCTTGAGTTTGCTTTGCGAAGCAGAGGGACTGGCTTGAGAGCTTGCTCGGGACTAGCACTACTAGCATTCTGGACATAAGGTGAAGTCATGCGCTTAGCAGTCACAGGAGTACGACGCTGGCCATGAGGTTGCGCAATACAGCACGAACCCTGCGCAATGAGGTCGCGCAATGCGGCTTCGATGCCGCGCGTGCGCACCCGGCAGTCTGACACAGCGCGTACTGCGTTCACAGACCATATTGCTCGACACCAACGAGCATCGATGCAACACGGCCTCTCTGCAAAGCCCTGTGGAGAAACCCCTCGCGTCGCGGAACACCATTCGACTCAGCCTTATACCCTAGCGTGGCGAAATCCTTCCGCATCGTGGAGCACACCCACCATAGCGTGACGTCCATCCCTGGCAGTACCGGCCGCACCCCTCCAGCACTATCCTTACAAGGGGGTTGGTCACTGCGGCTTCGACGCAACGCGTGCAGGCCTGTAATCCTGACACAGTGCGTGCAGCTGTGGGACCATAGCTGGTACACATGCGAGCGTTTACGCATTGCGACTTTTACGCGCGCCTGCTTTCACACACCTTTACACAAACGAGCGTCGACGCAACGCAGCCTCTCTGCAGAGCCGTGTGGCGCAATCTGACCGCAACGGTGTTCCTTTGAGCCTTCTTGTGCTCTCTGGCTTTGTTGGTTTCCTCCATGCTTGACCAAGGGGCACGTTCCTGAAACGCCGGAGACAGTCCCTCACCAGAAAAGGTCCCGACAGCTACCCAGTCCGTCTCTACCTTTCGTGTTTCCCCGCTCAAGTGTCATATTGTGACTAATGATTAATGTCCCGGGCGTTGCCCCGGTTGTCACTAGAAGCCTGGACTGCCGGCAACGGTTCAATTGTTGACCAACTTTGTTTTGACAGTTGCCCAATATGGACCTGACAAGGTCTGTGCCAGCTGGTAAGGATATCAAGATTGTAACTGTAACTCCTGTAAGACGAGCTCCTGTATCAGTACCGCTTTCTAAACCCACAGCATACATATGATGTCCCCAAACACACAACAATCCCGCATGCAGGAATCATTAAGATGTAAACTTCTGGATGTCCAAGAAACACAACATTACAGGATCTCTTCCAAATTTTGGAGCAAAAATCATTATTGTTTATTTGGAATGAACATGACTCAATATCAATAGAAGGGTGCAGTACAAACAATCACCCCAAGATACTTGGCGTCAGCGAGCATCCCCAAGTTTACCAATGCTTCTGGATTTTTAGGGCTGCGTACTGCTCTGGTTGGCCAGGGCTTGGAATTGAACCCGTGGCTTCTCGCAGCGTTGGCTCAAAGAGAAGAGGCACCATGTGACAAAGGCCAAGATCGTTTCGAGCAACGTATCGCAGGGTACGTGGGAAACCGAGCCAGACTGAGCGCCCTGGATGATTTGGTCGTTGGTTTCCATCATGTGGCACAGGAGTTTTGGCACGGCGGACAGCCTTATCACGAAAGGTAGCTTGAGCTACCTGAGTTCTCCTTGCTTTAGCAAAAATGTATTACAATCAGGAGTTGGGATTGTGCATTGAATTTGGTCCTGTAAGAGTTGATTCTGTTCGTCGGGGGGGCCCCCCCCTGGATCAAATCCCCCCTGCGCCGGTTCACGCCGTCGTGGACTTCTACCAGGGTTACTTGTGATTGCCTGCTACCTTTCGTTCACCCCCTCCTCTCTCAAGTTGATCTGAGGGCATGGCGCCCGAGCCCTACACTGGCCTTGACCAGGTGCAAATCTATAGGCACAAGGACGGGCACCCGATTGCTTCACAAATTGACATGTCCTGACATTCGGAACAGACCAAAACAACAAAAGACACCCTAAGACTCCTGGGTCACTCTGAAGCCATGTATGGTTTTCGACTCGTCAATGTCAGGCTGAAACTGAGGGCAGCGAGGCCGAGAAAGAGGTTTGGCAGCTTCTTGCCACGGGTTTGGATGCACTGAACGAGGAGTTCGCGCCCGGGTGTGGGACGTGACGTCAACGACTGCAGAATCACAGATTGAATCTAGGTTTGGCAGGTTTGGCCAATTGCCGTCTTGTCCCGTGGCATGTACTGTATATCTTTTATAGTGGCACTCATTTCGTTTGTTCCCTTCAGGATGATCCAGATGTAGCCATTGAAAGAGGGCACCAGGCCATTGCCAAGGCGAAGCAGGCAAACTGCACGGAAGGTGCGACATTTTGGGGATTTGATTCATCACACTGTCACCGGCACTTGCGGGTGGTTCACGGCATCGAAAGAAGCACACGAGAGGCCTGTGTGGAAACAGTTCAATTAGCAAAACCTATGCACCTATCAGAGTATGTTGAGCACCACAAGCCTACTACCGGTTTTCATACAGCCAAGCACCACGGAAGGTGATGCAGAAGGCTTGCTGCTTGTCACACGGGCCCTGACCAGCATCAACAGCCGAAAGGAAGGGGACAAGCTTGCGAGAGCACAGCTCCTCGGTCAGGGGACAGATAGATAAACCCCATGGAACCTCCAAACTAGCGCTCCTTTGAGAATGTTTGGGAGCCATTTTTGGCCGGCCCAGGCTGGCAGATGCCAAGCTCAAGAAGGACAAATCCATGGAGGCGAAAGCTCTGCTGGCTGTGGCCGAGGTCAATGCTGACCAGAGAGGCTCCAAAAAGCGTGAGGAGGTCTGGCCAGTGGGGCTTGAAGATTTGTTCATGATTTAAGTCATCACCTTCCCTTGCGGCATGTTGGGCATTTTTGAGGCACGCGTCGCCGGGAAACAGTCGTACGACTTCTTTTTGGAGCTTGGCGATTTGCGGGGGCAAGCGGCCGCATTGCTGGTCCAGTCGCACGTGTGCATCAAGAGCAAGAACCAAGACAAGGACAGGGAGCCGGAGGAGCACACACTGAACCACAACAGTGTGTGGCTTTGCCATCAAACCTGCATCAATTCCAAAACATGGAATAGTCTATATATATATAATATGCACTGTAATTGTCCATTCCTGTTTGGGAACGATTGTGTCGGAATTGTTGAGGATGGTTTCAACCACAAACAAGATTCAAGAAGTCCTTGTTGGCCAGGAGAAACGGTCTGCAGAGGCCCTCACGCCTCTTGGCTGCGGAGTGTCTTTTTTCTCCACCTTGCACTGATGCTGACATTGTCAGCATGGGGAGCTGCATGGCAAAGCAAGGGCCAAAAGTCTTGAGCCCTGGAACTCCAATGCGTGTACTTTAGTAAAGCTAGAAATGAGAGGACTACTGTAGGAGGATCGCAATTGCATCTTTGTGAGAGACCGTGGCTTGATTCGAGTGGAAGGAAGCATGAAAGGCTTGCTAAATGGCAACAGTCGAACTCCGAACGGCATCGGGACATCCCACCTCCAAGTTTCAGGGAATAGACATCACACATCATCAAGCCAATATGTTGGGTCTGTCCCATTACCTGTAACAGTCGGTGCACAATTGTCACTAACCATCATCATCCACCCGGTTCACTGCTTATGGGTTCAGTCGGTTGTACTGAGAGACCTGGTCACTGCTGGTCGGACTCTCCGATGCTTGCCGACACCCGCTGCAGGTTGGCCTCGGAGGCCCGTCGGATCTCTGGCGAGCTGAAGGACCAGCGGACGGAGGCCTCCTGCTTGCATGCGATTGCCTCGGCCTACGACATCATTGATCAGATGCTTGCTGAGAATGAGGGCTTTTGCATGTTTTTTTGTTTTTGGACTTTGAGCTGGGTGAGGAGTATTTGGTGGCACTATAGAATGGACGTCTCCCGATTTGTTTGGGGTTCCCACTCTCTTCATGGAACTGTGATGTGAGATGGTTGCTTTGTGGATGGCGTTGCCCAGGCATACCGAGTGCATTCTCTTCGCTGAAGAGGCTCTTGATCTTTATTTGGACCTTCAAGATCCTTATGCTGAAGGGTTTGAGTTGTGCTGTATGGCGCAGTGGTTTCTGAACCACGGCCGCCATGTACTTGCTGTGGCTTATGCAGAGGCTGGGGTCGTGCTAGAAGCTCCGACACAGCTTGGATCGGTAGTCAAACCCCGCGATGTGAGAATGGAAGCGGTCCAAAGCCACCAAACCATGACCGCTCCTCAAAAAGTGACCATCAAGGCGCAAGGCATTTTGTACGTGTTTTTTCCGAGCTTTTGTAGGTACACACATATCTACATTGTATATGCGTATGCATTACTTTGTCATGTACAAATACATAATATATATATATATATTGTAGGTATTATATGCGTGTACGTGTGTGCATGTGTGCATGGATGCTCGCAAAGATGCCTAGTCTTTGGATGTGCTGTGACAGGATGCCTTGGAGATCCTTCGAAAGGCGCCCAAGGCGAGTGCCTCGCAAGAGCTACGTGCCTTGCAGCTCCTCTCACAGGTGCTTGGTGGTGATGTTGGAAGGATGCGGTGGAAGCCGCCTCCAAGTGAATCAATGAAGACTTCAAATCTGTGATCATGCTTTGACCGTTTAAGGTCTCTTGCCTTTTGAATTTCTTTAGTGTTTGCCAATGAAACTGCTTCTCTGGGATATTGGCTACACATGTCATCTGTCATCTCATGTCATGACAGGCTCATGAAGGACGGGGTGACACGACGGGCTTGAGTGCCGTCCACGAGTCGCTGAAGCGCTTCCAGAACACGAACAACCAGTCTGCGGAGGTGCCAAGTGCTAAAAAGAAGCTCTTTTAGCTTTTAGATTTTTCACATGGGCTGGGCAAGTTCCACTTGGTGGTAAAACTTGCAGCTTTCAATGGGGCCATCAACCAACAATCCTTTACAAGAAATGGCCAGTGTTTGGACTAGGCTGCTGCGATGGACATGCTGCTGCGATCGCACTGCGACAAGGGCGAATACAAAGAAGCCTTGGAGATCGCTGAGCGAGCAAGGACCGCTTTCAAGAGTATTGGCAACGAAGCGTCTCACCAGCACTGGCATCTTATTCAGACAAGGTTTTGGGGTTGCAGTTTCGAATTTTAGGATGCTTAGGTGCATATTTTAAAGAGACACGTGAGGGGCACCATCACCACTGCATTTCCTTCTCACGTCTCACGTCCTTTCATTTTATCCCTTTCGCTCCTCTCACTCTCCTTGCAGAACTGTCAGCTTGGAAGCAGGTTTGACACTTGTGACTGAAGGCCTCAGAAGCAAATGTCTCAGCCTTGAGTGCTGGGCTGCACTTGAAGCTTCACATGCCAGACGAAGCTCTCAAAATAGGTGGGCTACAAGACGAGAGGATGCTTTCGACAGCCTTGGGCCTGTGCGACCGTGAAACCAATATTGTAGTGCGCAAACAAGACCAAGAAACATTTTCAGGCGCTTGCTTGTACTTTCTCGGAAAACTCTGCGGACAATCTTGGAGCAGTATGTTTCTCTTCAAACCTTTGCGCCAGGCTATGAGGTCATGGACCTGGTGAGACGGTCTGGCTCAACGAAGCAAAAGTCCGATCTCATGATGACACTGGCCCAGGCCCAGCCGACCAGTCAAGAAGTCGCCAGTGAAGGTTGGATTTTGGGCGACATGGTCTCGCAAGACGTACAGAACATAGGAGCAAGAAGCTACTAGGAGCAAAGGGCATCACTACTAGGGAGCAAGCATGCTACTAGGGGCTCCTGGCCTTACTCCTAGGAGCAAGAAGCTACTAGGAGGCACACACACACACAGAGACACATGCTCACAGGCATGGCACCCTTGTCGCCTTTGTTTCTGAACTTGGAACAGTTTAGGCGTATTTGGAAAAACAGCAGCCGTACGACGCCCTGGATATGTGCAACGACATGCAGCAGTTCTTTGCTGACAAAGGTTCACCTCCAGTTATGTCCTTTCTTGCTGTGTGAGCTTATTTCTTTTTCTGGTAGGGGTGCTAGATTAGATGAAGTGATGTGCAGCAGACTGCTCTGTGACATTTGGAGGAAGATCTTAAACATTTGCGGTAACTGTTGTACAGGCAATAAGTCCACAGGCGTATTTGTCAGAAGACGTCTTGCAAACACTGCAAATGCCCCAGGGTTGCCAATGCAGGTGATGTGGAGGGTGAGGCCGAAGCGCTCTTGGCGGCTGGATCACTCCACGTCCTTCAAGATGATCTAGACCAAGCTCGAGAAAAAGCCGTGAAAGCGCAGCTCATGCTCAGCGAGGCATGGGGGGCTTTTGGGTTTGATCAAGTCCAGGGACGAGGGCCTGTGAGAGAGAAAAGAGAGAGAGAGAGAGACTTAGAGCTAGGCATTAGCAAGTGAATTGTTTTTAGTGGTTTGGGATGTTTGTCCTTGAAGGAAGGCCTGGCCAGTGGTGAGGGCCGGGCACTTCGTTTGCTGGCCGAGATTTATGCGAAGCAGGAGCAGCACAAGGCTGCCATCAGGCGCCTATTGCTCTAGCTTTGTAAGTGGTGTGCTCCTCGGATGGCTGAGAGGGAGGGAGGTATCCGCTTTTGCGTGAATGGTCTCGTGATATTTTGCCCATGCTTGTCCGATGGTGCCTGGATCCCGCTGATTTGTTGGCAGGGCCGGCGAGCGGTCACGGGCCTTGCTGCGCGGAGAGGAGAACCCTGCGGAAGAGGCTTCCATGCTTTTCTTGGTGGCCCAGGACGGAGCAAAGCCTGGAACCGAGCAGTAGATACCTTCGAGTGGCTTTGGGTGTCCTAAAATGCTCACCGCAAAGCGGGTCTTTTCGAAGAACGTGACATTTACTGACGGCTGACCGTTTGCAGGAAGCCGTGCAACTGGCCGTGGCCGAAGGTGCAAGAGTAGGATCTGACAAGCCCCTGAAGAAACATGCCAGGCCAGTCCATGGGACGAGTCGTGGAGACACCAATGGCAGCAAAAGGGCTAATTTCATGGACTGTGGCTGGATCGAAATTGCATTCTTGTAAATGGTTTAGAGACAGATAAAGCCGGATAGTCAGTCAGGGTTTTGGTCCGGGTGATTGACCGTCGCCTCAGTTCCGGCGCCGTCGTCCATCAGTCCTGTCCTCAGGGATGCATTGGACAAAGCTGAAAAGTCGGCCAGAACTGCCATGAAGTTGTGCAAGGAGAGCGTCACTTCTTGGCACTTTGGGTTCGTCGATCGTTCTTCCCTCTCATCCATTGGAGCGGCGCTCTCTTTTTCCTTTGTAGGCAAATTCCGTTTGAACATTCAGAAGCCTCACTGTGCCAGTTGATGATGTCAATGATGTCCTCATCCGGACTAAGAGCAAAAAGGTGCATCACCCCATCAACTGCAAAGTTTTCCTCTTCAAGGTGCAAACTTCTCTTCTGCCATGAGCAAGCCGAGGCCAAGCAGCAGGGCATCACGGAGGTTTTGGGTTCATCCCTGTGCTCCCTCTCGCAGGCCAACACGTGGGCCCGTGCAAGCGCAAGATTGCATAGATGGGGTGAGAGACACTCAGATACTTTGGAGGGGTCACCCGACTTTCATCGCCAATGGCTTGAGGATCAAGTGGGACAAGCTGGCGCGAGCCAGAAACAGTTCATTACAGTCATCGCTCATACGATGCTTCTTCGTTCACACTGTCTACGGTATGTCCTGACCGAAGTCGCACGGCAGGTGCACATGCTGCGAAGCAAATACCAAGAAGCCCTCTCGGTGGCGCAAGAGGCCTCCCAGCTCTTCAAGGCAGAAGGCTACGCTCGGAACCAGGCCTGCTGCAAGGTCAACCAGTACCACTTCCAAGTCATCAGTGTAGACTTGTAGACCTAAAAGCGAGATGAACACAATGATTAGGACCTTGGACACTTTGCCCAGGCTGCGGCTTCATGACTTAATGATGCTTATATAATATTATATAATACATATTATTAATAATTATAGATATAAACTAATAGTTAATAGTTATTACTATTATTGTTATTGTTATTCTTATAGATGTTAATAGTTAATAGTTCATCCGGTCCTTGCATTGCCAGGGTTCGGCCTGCATGCTGTGTGCTGATGCCTACCGTGCCATGGAGAATTACAAGGAGTCGCAGAGAGTGGCTTTGGAGGTGCACCGGCTTCTGTTTCGCCTGAACTTCTGGACTGGTCAAGATGGGAGCCATCCCCCAAGGCTGCTGTTTGCAATCAGGTGAATTCTGTTTCTGGGCAGTGTGCTTTTGACATTGCAGGCAGTTAACTGCTTCAGGCTATGTGCATCTTGCCCAGCAATATTGTCAGATGAATGATCTTCAAGTTTTCCTACCTGTAGTGGGTGAGACCTTGAACTTCCTTCAGCACGACATTTTCTTCTGACCTCTTGATTGTCGTGGTTCAGCTGGGGGGGCTTCAAGCCGAGTGGAGCAGACAACACCTTGGTGTTATATCGACGGCTCAGGATCCTCCAGATGAGAGAGGCGCAGTGTCCGGACGTGTTGAGGGAATTGGAGATGACCAAAGCGGCGCTTTTGGGAGGACTAACCCCTGTTGAGCGCTTAGCACTTAGCACCTGAAGGATAGGCGCGCTGTCTGACAGGTCTGGAGGCCGCGCAGCAGGTTCTGGATGCGCTGAAGCAGCATTTGGCCCCTGCGCCCACCAGAGCATATGCAGGCCCAGTTCATGCAGTTTGTAGGCGCAAACAGAACGGAGAAGATGCACACTTGCTGGCCAAAACCTTAAGAAGAATTCGGCGCACATTTCATGGAATGAGGGGCATTGAAGTGAGACATAGCCTTCCTTGTGATCAAACACGTTGTCCAGACTTGCCACATTTTCATTGCGAGCTTATCGCGGCCCGCTATTTCTCGATCAGCCAGCCAGCCGGCCGGCCGGCCGGCCGGCCGGCTGGCCAAGAACCACGGTCCAGCTGGCCGGGCGGCCGGCTGATCAACGACCGCGTCGGCCGGCCGGCTACTACAACAACAACAACAACAACTACTACTACTACTACTACTACGATGACGACAACGACGACGACGACCACGACGACGACCACCACCACGACCACCACCACGACCACGACCACGACCACGACCACGACCACAACCACGACCACGACGACCACGACCACGACCACGAGCACGACCACCACGACCACGACCACGAGGACCACGACCACGACCATGACGACCACCACGACCACGACGACCACCACGACCACCACGACCACCACGACCACGACGACCACGACCACGACCATCGACCACGACCATCGACCACGACCATCGACCACG